TTGTGGATGCCCCATCACTGGCAATGTTCAAAGCCAGGTTGGGTGGGGCTTTAAGCAATCTGGTGTAGTGGAAGGCGTCCCTGCTCATGGCAGGGCGATTGCAACTAGTTGAGCTTTAAGGTCCCTTCCAACCCAAACCATTTTATCATTGTATGTTCAGGATGAAGTGTCTGTGTCCCACCCACTTATCCTTAATGCTTCTCATGTCGAGACCATCTATTCTCTGCTCCTTCATTTGTATCACAGGCTTTGGGGGTTTCCTGTTCTCCTTTCACCTCCTTACTAGCACAGTTGCCTGTACTTCTGTTAGTAGGTTTCTGATATTGGCTGCCCTTCATCCACTGCCCCTCATTTTCTCTCTCCAGATGTTTTGTGTGCTACTCTTCACCTGTGCCTGCTGCTATGCTCTTTTACAGTCTGCATTACCACTGCATTGACACTCTATTGGCCTGGCAGGCCAAACTCTCCCATGGGGCAGGAGGCTTATGCACCGGGGAGGTCCATACCCCTGTTCTCTGGCACCGGGTGTTTGCGCCCGGCCCCTGGGGCGGCTGGAGGGGCGGGAAGCGGGTAGCTGGGCTGTCCAGGGTGCTGAACGCCGACGACGGACTGGGCTGACGTCTGAGTGTACTCTCCCTTTGATGGCTCTGCTGCAGGTGTGAATGGCAAAGAAACACAGGTATCTCTGAAAGCTAACCACCTAATTTCCTGTTTAATATAGAAGAAAGTTATCAGCCTGCTAAGTTAAAGCATCATGTATCTATCTAGTAAGAAATCTTAAAAAATGACATGAGGGAAGAGAATAGTATTGCTATAAAATGGATTTGGTGGCTTTTTTTTTTTTTTTTTTTATTAATCAGGCCTGCTATTTTTGTCAGATATCAGCCTTTGATCTTATGAGGATTCTTCAGGGACATAATGGAAAAACTGAGAGCCAGATTGTAATTCTCCCATGACTGTGATTCGGGAATAATTGTACTGAAGTCAAATTAAACTAATGTGAAACAGATGTAAGTGCATTCAGACAGAGACTTAATACTATGCAGGTTGAGGTAATACTTTTTTACATGGCAGATCTTTTATTGGAAAAAAACCCCAGCTACAATATACTATTAGATTAATGCATGTACTTTTTCAGACACTGTAGTGCTCCTGGCTGTACAAAGGGATTGATATAACAGGTGTCTGAAAGCTGAAGTGTGGATAATGAGGAATAGTTACCAGAAAAAAAATGATGATGACGATGATTACAAGACATGAACTGGGTACCCCCTCTTCTGTTCTGGCATTTAGAGGGTGGATTCTCAAATTGGGTCTGAGGATATGAACGATGTGTTAAGATATGAGAGGCAGGATCCATAGCGTATTGTGGTTAGTGTCCCTAGCTACAAGAACCCGCAGACAGGCTGTGGTAACTCAAACAGGTCAGATCTGAGACGACACCATCCTGGCAAAGGTTATTACTGAGGTGTAATTTTCTCAGGTATATTCACTGATTTCACTGAAACCACTTCTGGCAATAAATTCTGTTCTGTGGATTAATCCCTCGATGAATGAAGACACAGCACTGTGTGCTATGACTTAAAAAGTGGTAAGAAACTGCATGCAGTAGAAGGCAATAAAACTAGTAAGTTGCTTTTCCTTGCATGGTACACACTAGTCCTGATGCTTAATTAACTTCCTGATTCCTAGATTCATTTCTAAAGCTTTTGAGAACCATCTGAAAAAAAAAGTCTTAAGGTTATCCTAGAGAGAAGGCTTTGCAAGTCTTCCTAGACAGAAAGCTTCCTAGAGAATAAAGAAGTTATAAAAGGATTCTGCACTGGATCCTGTCCAAGTTCATACTACTAGAAGATGGGTCAATAGAATATAAAGAACAGGATGCACTTCACTTGGGTTATTCTCTGGCTCCCTTGGTCTGAGTGTAAATAACAGCACTTCTGTGGCAATAACCTGAATAAAGAATGATCTTCGCATGTAGAAATACCAGATTAAAAACAACCATATAGTTAACCATGAATAGTTATATACACAAATGAGCATGCTGCAATGTGATGACACAAAGACTGTCTAGACTTCTCATCCCTTCAGTGCATCCAAGAAATTGAACATACAAGTTTAAGATTATTTCTGTCTACTATCAATGCATTTTTCCATTTCTGCTCACTGGATTTAAGTAGCTATAAGAACTGTTTGTCTGTTCTGCTATGGATTCCTTTGAGTTCCATCAGAACAACTTCTAAATCACTCATGCCATATTACTAATGAATAGTAAAAGGGCACTTAGCATTTTATTTCTTTTTCTTCAGTAAACTCACTTATAATAGAAAGCCTTCTATCTATTGTGTTGTGACTGTTACAGGCCAAGTGCTGTAAGGCACCGATTCTCCAATAAAACCAACTATAAGGGCAGTAAGTCTGAACAATGACCCTAAATGAAAAATTTAGTCAGACCAGCTTCATAAACTATTGATATAAAGTCGAGTCCTGAAAATTCTCATGCAGGTACTATTTTAGACTGATCATGCTATAGTTATTGTCTTTTTTTTTTTCTTGGGGGGCTTTTATTTAAATGAACATTACTGAACCTACTTAGCTTATAAAAGTTGACAGAGTAACAGCTTGAAACACTGTAGCTTCAAGGCACCCACTCTCCCTATCATGAGAATTCACCACCACTGGGGGGTAAAAGGCCTTTTATTTGCATAAGATAATAGTTACGTTTCTATGCAACAGCTGTGCTTCAGTGAAAGATGCACTCATTGTGCCAAATCCATCTCTGGAATAACCCCACTGATTTTAAATGAGTTACTTTGAGATTAAACTGGCCCACTAGATAAAACTGCAGGTCTGAGGCACTGAAAAAATTAAGATTTCCATGATCTTTAACATGGCAAAAAAATTGCAAATCAATTACCTGATGTTATGCATTTATGTACCTAACAGATCACAACTGATTTGCCACAGGGTTTTGAAACCATATAGCTAAAGCAAACTTTTCCGTAGAGCTGACAGACACTTTTGAGGAACATGGGAACATTAAGAGGGTACAATAAACAGGATTATGGTATTGTGTCATTATTATCTACTTACTGCTACTGTAAGTCAAACAAATATGAGATGTCTCTATAAGGTCAGTTTAATAATACAGGATTCATATGGCCACATGAAAATTCCTCTTCTTTAGACAGTGACAACCAGGATGTGTTTCCAGTAATGAACTACCTGAAGATTTCACCTCTAGACTATAGACTTCCTGTGTATGTTTGCAGTGATCTAATGGTGGAACTCAAACAATGGCCTGTTTGAATTCAGTGATCTTATGAGAGTTCTTAGCCATCAGATGTATGTGGCACAATACCCATCTCATCAGTTAAGTGCTGTTAGTTATGGCACAAAGACAAAGTAGTGCTTGGGTTAGAGTGTCACAATTGAGTAATATATGTCTATATGTTAGAGTTTCCCAGTAATGTACAAGGAAGATGCCAGTAAACTCGAAACTGTTTCGAATGCTGAGGAAAAGTTATATACATGCTTATATAAGTTATGTACGTATACATGTATAAATACATAAATAGTTCTTTATTGATACATATCTGGTAAGTGATCTTTTGGGTTCAGAAGCCTTCTTTGAAGACACTTTGGTTATTGGAATCATTAAAATATTTCCCAAGCATGATTCAAGTGATCACACAGCACAATTAGCAATGCCAACTGTCACTTTTGCTTCCATTCAGTTTGCAGAAGTAATATCAACAGAAATTCCAAAGCCTGTTCAGAATGCATCATGGTTTGCTTGCAAAGGAAATACCTTATGCTCCTGATGTCATCATTGCAATTATCTCAAATTCAAGTCTTACTGAGCAGGCTCATTATCATTCTTACCATGTCCTCCCTCAGAGCAGCCTCTCCTGCCTCCTCCTCTACAGCACAAAACAAGTGCCACAGGGGAGCTTGGATTAGGGAGAGACACCCAGCACCTCCCCCTAAGAAAACTTGCTGCATTATTTCCATCTAGTTTTTTCAAACTACATACTGCTTTACAGGACCTCGCACACCACCACCAATGAAGAACTGGATTCACAAATACTGATTTCTCTTTCTTGTTTAGGGTTGAACAAAGACTGGGGACAAACACAGATATGTGTATTTAGCTTAGGAATGTGGATATGAAGAGAGTAGGCCAGTCTCCACCACAAGATTTTCCTAAGGAGACTCACTCATTTCAGACTGCTTTTTGTTGTTGTTGTTGTTTGTTTTCCTCACCAGGGCAAATTTCTTCTCTTGTCTTACACGGTTACCTAACATCTGAGCAACAGATAGGAAAGCAAGACAGAGCGGTTGATAAAAAGAAGTACAGAGCAAAATGCAGGGGACAAACTGTGTCAGGCACCAGGTTTAAATCACAACCACATTTCTTGAAAATGCAAAAGGTCCTGGCTATGGACCTCAGTACTGATTCTGAGGTCTCTGACCCATGAGCCACATGAATTTGTGGATCTTATCCCTAAACCATTCCCACTGAACGATCCCCTTCACACAAGGAGCAGATTTCTACTGCGGAAGAGAGGAGGCAGGACAGGGTTAACTTCACACCGTCCTTCTTCAGGCCCCCAGAGGAGCTGGGGTTTTGTTTTCCTGGGTAAGGGAGGGGGAGCTGGGGCTTGTATTATAACTAGAAATAGAGATCTTGCTGGTGTTACCATCCTGTTTTGGGTTTGAGGGAAAGCCTGGCAGGAGGGAGAGGAGGAAGAACACAGCCTTGGAAAGCAGGGTTTGGTAATTGCACAAGGCAAAACCAAGCGTCCTCCATTTCCCCGAATCCCCCTGAGAGCTAAGGGGGGCTTCGAGAGAGAGAGTTCTCCAGCCTTCCTCCCTGCCCCCTCCCCGCAGCCTAGCCACATCTTCCAGCTCTGTCGCGCCAGCCCTTGCCTTGACACGAGGTGTTTGTCCCTACTAACAGCGCGGAGGGGAGCGGGGTCAGAAAGAGGAGCAGGGGTCTCCGGGCTTTCGGGTTGCCCGGTCCTGGTCCCCCAGAGCCTGCGGGGGCTCGGATGATGCCCTGCCCTTCCCCTCCCCCTGCGCTGCAGAGCCTCCGGATGCTACCGTACTCCTGCCATGTGCTGCCGCGGTCGCTACTGAGGCTCGTAGCTTAGCCGAGCGTGTCTCCGGCTGCAAACTCCGCCAAACGAACCTGCATCTTCCTCCAGGGAAGGCTACCCAGTAGGTACCAGCCGGAACCTGCCCCCTCCCTAGGGCATCCCGCTACCGCCTCTTATCCAAGAGACTCGCAGCCTCTCCCCACCCCCTTTTTAAGCCAGCGCAGAGAGGGGCTCCGTGAATTCCCTCCAAAGCTATAGGGTGGCTCCCTCCTTCTCCTCCTCCTCCACCTTCTCCTTCTCCTTCTCTTCGTGCTCCGCTTCTCAGCGAGCCGGACTGCTGCGGCAGCCGGAGGGGTCCTCCCAGTCTCGCCCAGCCATGCCGCTGCGGCTCACCCCCCAGGGCTGACTTTTGTTACCTCTCTAGTGCTGGGGGCTGAACTGAGGTGGGCACCTTTTTGGGGGGCGGCTGAGGCTGGAGAGAGTGTGCGCGTGTGGGAGGTGTCCCTGGGGCTGAGAAGAGACGCTGATTTCCCGACCCTTGCAAGCCTGTGGGCTCTCCAGCACGGGCGCCCCTCGGGTGGGCGCTGAGGGGCCGGGCTGCAGCGGATACCCGCCACCCTCGCACACATCTGCCGGTGGGCCGGGCTAGCCGGCTGTGGGAGCCTCCCCAGGAGCCAGCGGCACCCGGGACCCGCTGCCCAGCTCAAAACCCTCCGTTCCCGCTCCCCCCACCCAAGACCCTCTCCGGTCCTCACTCCGTTCTTCACCCCTGTCTCTGCTGGGGTGCCGGCACCCCTCCTCACCTCTCCGGTACAAACCCCACCACTCCACTCCCCTTCCCGCCCCTCCCCACCTTCTTTGATTTATTTGTGTATTTCTTTCCTTGGCAACCACCAGTTCCCCTCAGTCAAACAGCGCAGGCTCCCTATAATTTGAAATTAATTTGTTTGACTGCAGCATTCAGACAGGAAGGTTGGGAATTTATTTAATTCATTTTTCTCCCTGTGCAAAAAGGAAGCGATGAAATTTCCAATCGAGACTCCAAGAAAACAGGTGAACTGGGATCCTCAAGGTTGGTGATTCTCTACTACTATCATTACTATAATAATAGCAATTATATTATTCCTTGTGTCTAGTGGCTTGTAGGAGAGTATTTGACTCCAAATGGGAGGAGACGTTGGATGATTGTCTGTTTCCCATGTGCACTGCTCAGTCTTTTCTGCTCAATCCTAGCGGTGCATTAGAAAATGATCCTCAAATGTGGAGCTGGGTGGGTGCGTGGGTAAAACCTCTTCTAGGTGTAAGTTTTATAGTTCTATATTTGATATCTCTCTCCCCTCCCTTTTTCTTGAGTATTTTCATGACAAACTTGCCTGGGATGGCTGTGATGTCTGGCTCACAGCATTGTTTGTTTTATCTGTGTCTCCTTTGTTGTTTCTAGTGATCCTTGTCGCTGCTAAATGGGTGGTACAGGAGTGGACACAGATGTGACTACTTGCTCAGGGCTCCTCCATGGCAAATGTTTGTTGGCAAGCAACTGGAGCAAAATGCTGCTTCAATATAATCCATAATGTGAACAGTATAAAAAGACACATCAAATGGAGCCCAAAGGGACCTTTAGATTCTTTACTATGTCCTGTTAACAACTAATCAGCCCAAGTGGATAGTTTGATTAACTCTATAGTTAGGTTTCGAGTCTGTCTTGGGGAGTGTGTTTGTGTGGTGGTGAAAGGAGATTTATGCCAGTGCAGTGGTTTTCAATAAAATGGTCTGAATGGTGTTTTAAAATAAACCATAATGAAATGCTCTCCTTTCCTGGCATGGGGAGGAGGTTCATATGCAACCTACAGAAAAGTGGCTGAAAAAACCCTACTGGTAATTTGTATACTGGTGTGTCATCTTTCTGTGCATCAGTGCAGGAGCAGAGCAGCTCGAAGCCATATGCTTAGGTTTGCAGCAGAACTGCTGGCAGCTAAGCACTATACAGCAGTACTTGCAGGAAGTATGAAGTGATAGCACAGGCTTTCATTATTCATCTTTATTCTGCAGGTTTGGTTTTAGTGGTCAATTTGTCTGACATCTTCTATGCCCTCACGTCTACCAAATGAAATGTTAGGAACAGTTTTTCCTGCTGTAGAAGGAATACAGCAGAACAGACATCTTTCTGCTCAGCAGATCTGTTTGAAAAGTATACACAATCAAGCTTTAGGTTAAACCTTACTACGTCTTTAATTAGGTGAAGGCTGAAATCGTCACATCAGTCTCCTCCACCCGCAGCTTCACAATGAACACATAGATGTTAGTACTAACAGAGATCTGATTATTTCAATAACAGTATATTCCTTACCATAGGGTCAAAATTCTGCATGGCAAAAACTTGCTCTTCACAGGTGCTTTTCTGAATGTGTATTTGCTGTAGCTTCATTTTAATTAATTTTATGTGTTGCAAAATGTCTTTTAATGCAAAAAACCCTTTCCTCCTTTCCCCTGAGAAGATGCACAGGAGGCTGTACTGATGGCACTCTATATGCTGCTCCTTTGCTTGGCAATCAACTTCAAGGCATATGGATCCAACAGGTGGTCAGTCACAATTTCCTAATGTTTCCAAAACTGTAGGGTACTGTAATAGTTAAAAGACCTTAAACCCATCAGATTTCCTCTCTGCCAAGCTGAATCCTTGCTAAGGACTTCAGAATTCTGTCACTTATTTCTTCTTTGTATGTTGGCAGCATTAGTCAGGCAACAAGGATGCTAGTGGGAAGGAAGGAAGCAAAAAATGTTAGTTTCTAATTCTCCGAGGGACTCAGGAAATAGGTAAAATGGTGGAATGGAAAAAAGCAAATTGGTAAAGAAAAGTTGTCTAAGACCCAATCCTTTGACCAGTAGAGGAACAGTGCAATGATGTTGTACCCACATAGTCCCACTGAAGAATTAGTGATGTGGGTAGAAGACAAGATGATAGTTCATTCTTTTCGAAATGAAAATAGATTTCTGTAGATGTAAATGTTTGCAAAAATCTACACAAGATCACTGAGAGCCTTAAAATGAATTTGATTTACAGTCACATATGTAGTCTGTTCTCTGGGTTTACACGTGAAGAATGATGTTAAGTTTTTCATTGGATGTGATATCCCTGGAGTTAAGAACTGAAGGAGCTTTTCTCAGATACAAAGATCAACATGTAGAAAGCTGGTGGTGCAAGGATACAGCATCCTAAGTATTAAAAGCAAAGCTCATGTCTAGTTAATGCTCATGCTCAAATACCAGTTTCATTTCAATGTGTATTGTATGATTGTGCCCTGTTCCATTCACCAGACAGAGAACGTGCAGTTTCCACAGTTTCGTCTAGTAGGAATTGTGCTAACTTATGCTAACAGTACTTGAAATACATCAATTGATGTTCCTGGCAAGCAAGTTAACAGTCCAGTCATGTAAGTGAGATCTATGGTATCTCAAAGACTGTTTAGATCTGATTATTCCACGTAATATTTTCTAGAAACTATGCACATTTCTAAATGCCAGGGCCCTTATTGTGGGGATATGGCTGGCTGGTTTGGCATGGGACTGATGCTGATTTGAACCCAGGTCAGAATGATGGTTATTGAAATGAATTAATGCCCAAAGTCCATAATGCTGACTGAACTATAAATGTTTACATAGATAAATAGATTAGAGCCTGCTAGTAGTTTTCATCTGGCATAAAACTGGTATTCTCAGTTCACAACAGCAAAGATCAATATACCGTAGAAAGACTCTGTGGAGAGAAGAGGTTTAAAAGAATAGAATTGACATGAGGGATGGTGCCTGACAGACAGCTAATGGGAAGCTGTTTTCTCAGTCATTAAAATTGAAAGAATAGGGCATGGAGACTGAGCTATGTTTTTATCCTGCTGTGTAGTGTCTTCATTTGTCTTGGGTATAAGGTATATATCTGTGTGTTCCCTGTAAATGCTGAGTGTGTTGTCTAGAAATACCAAGTATTTCATAAATCTAGAAGTAAATAGGGTCCAGATTCCTTCAGTGAAGCTCCCTACTACTCCAGGCAATCAAACTATGTAATCCCATTAACAAAGATCAAACTCCATCCCAAAAATCACTGGGACTTGTCCCTGACATTTGAATGCGAACTATGTGAAAAATCTCATACGTATTGATTAAAAAACATACTAGTCATACACAGTGAGTGAACGGGGTAAAAAATGAGTATAAAACCTAAGCAGGCACCTCAAGAATGTTGTAGGGAGAGCTGGACACATTGAATACAGGTACAAGTTTTTGCACTACCTGGCCTTACATTAAAAAACAAAAACAAAAACAAAAACAGCAAACAAACAAACAAACAAAACAACCAAAACCCCAAAGCCTGCCATTTGTGTTACTGATGGAATCAGCCTGGATATACACAATCATAAAACATTTGATCATTTGATCTGCCTATCACTGGTTTTTGCTTCTCTCATTTGGTGCAATTCAGGTAAAGCATTAATAGCAGAAATTAGTGAAAGACCAGATCCTTAGTTTCATACCTCATATAACTTCCCATTTATACATTTTGGAATATAAGATTGGGTTTATAGCTACATGTGAAGACATTAATTCCTGTAATTGTTCTCATCTCTTTACTGCATTCCTCCTGCTGTTTGTTACACCCACCTGTTGTCTGTGCTTGAACTGGCTTATAATCTCTGCACATACATCTTTATACATAACCTAAAACACAGTGGGTCTCTCATCCTGACTGAGACATCTGGAAGTTACCACAGTAATTATTTTTTTTCTCCTATCTGCTGAATTATCTGCTTAAAATGGCTGTTTCTTTATAGAAAAGAAGGATAGATGGGACTGTTTCCAATATGCTCAGAAATTATTCCCAAGTGTAACTGTTTTGCAGGCTGATGATGAGATGCCCTTTTCTCAGGGAAGGACGTCTGTCTTGGTGGTGCTCCATTTGCTGCCTAGCAAATTGAGTTCAGTCTTGTTCTATCCTTTATGCCTGCAGGTTTTTGCTATCATTGGAGTGATATGGATTGTCAAAGCCTTCTGAATTTCCGATCAGATGTTTATATCTACGCAGACCTTTTGGAACGCTGAAGTTTTGATGTAACTTCCTTTCACAAAGACATTTATGTAGGATGGTTTTCTGCAGTTTGCAACCCTAAAATTCTGTATTTATTATCATTCTTACATTTAGCATAGAAGTTAGGGAATTCAAGCTGTAGTTGAAAGACTGGAGTGCCTCTTCAGAGGAACTCATTTACTGTTTAACCTTCAGTAAGCCACTTATCATGGCTCCTTTTCCTCCCCTTTTCCTGGACTAAAAATATGAGAATATTAATACTTCCTTAATTCACAAGTGTGTTGTGAAATATAATTAACTTGTTTAGAGCAACTTAAGATCTGCTACTGAAAGAAGAGCATATGTATTGCAATCAAATGCTAAAGCAATTAGGAAGGAGCAAAACAGCCTGTCATCATCCACAGATCACATCAATTAAGAAATAAGGTTATCTCTGCACTTTACAATTAGAGGAAACTTGTATTATTTGCGCTTCTTTAGGGACACTGAAGGCTCAGTTGAGTTTCCCATTAGAGGTATCTAGAGACCTTTGATATTCCTCAGCTGCCACTCCAGAGGGGCTCCAGTCTTCCATAGGTCCTGGGTTAACTGCCATGAGATTTCTCTACCTGAGACACCTGAAGCAGTACTGGACACCTACACACCTGGGTCGGAGCAATCCCAGGCACAGCTACAGGTTGGGCAAAGAAGAGATTCAGAGCAGCCCTGTGGAGAAGGACTTGGGGGGGGCTGGTCAATGAGAAAATGAACATGAGCCGGCAGCGTGTGCTTGCAGCCCAGAAAGCCAACTGTATCCTGGGCTGCATCAAAAGGAGCGTGACCAACAGGTCGAAGGAGGTGATCCTGCCCCTTTATTCTGCTCTCGTGAGACCACATTTGGAGTATTGTGTGCATTTCTGGTGTCCTCAACATAAAAAGGACATGGAACTCTTGGAACAAGTCCAGAGGAGGGCCACGAGGATGATCAGGGGACTGGAGCACCTCCCATATGAAGA